ACTCCTACAGTGACCACTAGTTCAATTACTAATGTTCCATCATCAGGTCTGTACAGTTAATTCATTATTCATTAGTACATGATATATTGTATACTATTATTAGTTACATTAACTACTGATATTAGTACCAGTACATCAGTTACAGTTATATCATCTACTTCAAGTAAGTGCTAGCTTTATTCCATTAATTAATTATGGCAGTAACAGTTACAGTGTCTTCAACAATTCATGAACAATCATCATCTTCCTTTATTTCAGCTACTGGTACATCAACTGGTACTACTAGTATGAGTATACCAGTTTCATCATCAACTACTGTATCAACTACTGCTGCTGGTTCTAATCCTGTTCCTATTATATCTGGAGCTATTGGAACAGTATTTGTTATAATAATAATTATTATTATATTGGTAATAGTGATACTGGCAATCAAGAAACAAAGAAGTAAGTATGATTACTATAATCACTTTTAATTATTGCTATTTTGCTATGCATACAGGAAAAAAATATAAAATATCTAAAAAGCAAGTTTACATCTTTATTTATGTATTCATGTATTATCAAACCACAGTAGGACTGATGCAGCAGTTACTCCTACATATGATGAGATCATTGTTAAACCAACTACTACTACTACTGGAGTGCCAATATATGATACACCAATGGAACTACAGGCTAATACTGCTTATGATGTTATTAATAAAGATATAATTAATGTACATAATAATGATGCATATGGACAAATAATGATGTAACTTGTTCTTATTATGATAATTAAATTTATATGCTACACAGCTAAATATAATCACATTGATCAGGCCTGATTCAGCCTAAAACCAGGCCTTATCAGGCATGGATCATGGATTTTGGTCAATCAGTCCTGATACAATCATGGAGTCAGCCACAATACAGGCATGACAAGCATCTATACTGGATCAGGCCAGACCGACTTTCATGATTCAGCAATGATAGCCAACAGGGCTGTACCAGTACTGATATCAGGCTTGAGTTATTAATTTTGGGCAACATTTTGAATCAGGCCTGAATATAATTATTGGCTTTGTATGCAATGCATGCATGGGTGGAGTTGATATAATAATTACATTTAGGAAGAATAACAAAAACTTAAGTATAATAAACAGTTTATCAACTGTTCAAATCGTATTTGATCCCAGGCTCTTACTGATACACTAATGGCTACTGCTAGTATCTACTGGTGTCTTGTACTTACTGGATGTGTCAGTCTTGTTGTATCTGGTAAGTAGTTTGTAGTGTGATTGTATGACTGAATTAGGAGGATCACGAATATTCTCAACCAAATAATAAAAGAAGAAGAGAGAGAGTTAGAAAGGAAAGAGGAAATGAAGGAAGAATGGGAATGTTTTAGAAAGAGTGAGAAAAGAGAAGTTACAGCAAATGATAACAAACAAAATAGCAACATACACTCACACTACTAAAAATAGTTTGATAAAATGTTTACAGTGAACGATAGAGATGAACGAGATGAACGAATGATGAACGAACGATGAACGAACGAGACGAACGAACGGTCTTCTTCTTGTGATCTGTGTGTATGTGCGTATCTGTGTACATAAAGCTGACTACGTGTAACTATGTGGTTACAAGTCATGAATATTGAATGTGTTAATTAATCCAGGATATATTGAATGCATGAATATATTGACCACCACAAGTTTATTCTTTAATATATATATATATATATATTAATCAATAGCAGCAGCAGTACACTTTCATCAAATAGTTCCTGAAGCTGGTGTTGTACCATGTCCTGGTGATAGACTGGTACTTACTTGTACAACTGATACTGGTAGTTTAGTCTGGGAAGTAGATGGTATGAACATTCAGTTAGCAAAACAAGGTGCTACTACTGAGAAAGGCGGTTTCTTAGTTAATATTACTAATATTACTGGTAATACAACAATAAGTACAGCTACTGATGAATCTGTACCAGTATCACTTGATGGAACTATGATTGGTTGTTCAGATACATTTCCTGGTGGCTTTGTCTATCTAACTATTAATGTAACAGGTTAGGCATATTGTGTATAAAGTATTATTTATATTATTATGTCACAGGTCCACCAGCATTACCTGTTAATAATATAACAATTGAACCAATTAACAACAGTACAGTATCAATTAATTGGACAGAACAACAAAGATGTATTCATCATTATGATATCACAATAACCAGTAATGAAACATTTACTGAGTATAAGCTTGTCTATACTTCATCAACTACTATTACTTCTCTTATTGCTGGTACTAGTTATATTCATTTATTATTATTCCTATTGATACTGGTGGAAGAGAAGGACCTCCTTCATCATTAATACAGTATATATGGAATGGTAAGTACTATACACACACACACTCATTGTATTTCTTATAGTACCAGCTCAAGTTGTTAATATTAGTTGGGATCAGATATCAACTGATAGTATTACAGTATGGTGGAATAACACTCAAGTACGTTATTATTATCAATTATTGGAATCATTCTCTGTAAAATAGGATCACACATTACACTATCCACCAGTACATTATCTTATAAGTGTATTAGATGATGATAATATTATTACTACATATAATAACAATAATGTTAATATTCATTGTAATCATGAAGTAGATCCATGTTATGTTACTATCATTCCTGTTAATATTATTGGATATGGACCATCAGCTACTGTTAATGGTATGAACAATTTCAGTGTATTGTTTATTATAACTTTACAACAGTTGGAAAAATTCAAATAAATAAGTCCAATAATACTTGTCTGAAT